TTATTGAATTCAAGGTTCTTATATACATTTTAATGTTTTAGGATGCCTACACTCTAATCTAAAGGATTTCATTAAGATTTTAACACTTTCGCTGAGATTTCAATGTATTTCTTTAGTATAATCGCGTTTACGCGTAGATTTGATGTTCATACAGTATAAGCGACTATTAATTACTAATTTTGCACTAATTTAATAATTACAATGAATACGTATTCGGGAATTGTTACCAAAATGGAATTGGAATTTTACGGAAAATATATTTATAAATAAATCAATAGGACAATATAGTTAATAAAATAAATATAATAACAAACGTAAAGTAAGCAGGTGACTATCTATTAATTGCAATACGTATTAAGTATGTATCATTACAAATTTTAGGCATCATAGCATTAATAATTAACTCGCGAGTAACTCGTGAGGTAAATTTTCGTTATTCGAAGAATGATAATTCGAGTAACGAGTTGACGAGTCCAGTCACTAAACTAGGAACAGGCTAGTTAAATTATTATAATTGCAGCTGGCCATTCCCTCTATCATTACCCCGCAGTACACGTGAAGATGTTTAAATTATTTGTTTTATTAGTAACTGGGAGTTGGATAAAGTTCCTAAGCAGAATACTAGATGTAGTAGCATTAGTTTTTGCAGTCCACGAAATCAAAGGGAAAACATCCTGATATTCGTTCAATGCCTTTCAAAGATAGTTTTTCGATTTTATTTTTCTTTGTTTGGAACACGATTTATTTATTTATTAAACTCTCAGACATTCACCGGTCTGAACAATGCCTCTTTAAAATATATTATCATTAAATAAGTTGATGAGTTTAAGAATAGAACCTAATATCATTGCAATTTTGGAAATATTGATATTTTCGATATTTGTAATAAGAATTTTTTTTTTTTAATTGAAGAAAAAAACCTAGTATACTTGAAAACGTGACTTGATTAATGGATCAAGAAGTGTTTGTGAATAAATTATACTCGGCAGAAAATATTTTAAGCGGACCAAATGTATTGGTCGTTGCGCTGAATATTTAAATAATAATTGTAATTTGAAAAAATGAATATATCGCACCATGCGACACAATTATATATCGCATTTTATAAGAACAGGTGTAACGTGAGATCAAAACAATAAAAAAATAAAACGGTTTACTTTGTTTTAATTAGAGTTAGGGCAAGTTCAGTTTTGGGTTAGAATGAGGCATAGTTTATATCAAAATTTTGCAAGGAATTTTTTTTGTTAGAACACGAAGGGCTGTTTCCTATGCAAAATTTTGAGGTATTGGCGATTTTTCAAAAAATTACAGTTTTTTGTATTGTTTATGTTACACCTGATCCTGAAATTTGATTGGTTGGGCGATAAATAAGAGTATCGCACTGGTGCGATATATAGATAAATCCTTGTAATTTAATAAAGTTAATTACGTGTATAAAATATTTTTATTAGTAAAAATTGTTAAATGAGTTTGTCATTTTAATTTGCAAGCTTTTTATCGCAAACCATCTTTTTTTATACCTGGCTTGGCAAAATTCACCAATAATTGTGTATTCAAAAGATCATTCAAATAATTTTGCCATGAATCCAATTTTTTTCAACAACTAATTATTATTTAATTCTTTGTACTAGAAAGTTTTTATGAAAAATAAACAAAATATCAGAAAGCCCGAAAAACAATTACGGATGCTTACTGTTTTTTAAATTTTGTTATTTCGCTGATAATTTCTTTTAGAACAACATTCAAACATCAACAATGACCTAACTTAGTGGCGACAACATTTGATATATAATGAATCGCTCAAGTATCAATTGCAATTTTTATTTTGATTGATTATAATAAATGTGCATAATTACATTTGCTAGCTAATCCATAATATGCAAATTTTGAATTATCACCAAAAATTTATTTAAATATATTTATGGTCATATACTATAACGCTCATTAGCTAATTACATCAAGATTGAAGTTGAGAACGCCTAAATCTGTACTTATTTACACTGCACTCAAATTAATTCTTTGTTAACATAATTTCCCTATTTTTAAAAATTTTCATCATATTAAGCAATCAAATTATAAGTTTCATTAAATATTAAAATTGCCTAAAATTTTTCTAATCTAACCACGTCAATAGTTTAATTTAGCATAATTCGACCCAGATCAATTCTTATTTGAGTGCGTGAGAGTGAAAACCTGGAAACCGATTTAATGATTTACTATGATCGGTTTCCATGTTTTCACTCTCACGCATTCATTTGCAAGTGGGGTTGTGTTACGAAAGTTACAATCTTATATGTATCTTTACGTAAATTTCAGTAAATCAAATTTCATGTAATGTTTATCATGTTTTATATAAAGTACCGGCTTTACAAAAGTTTGGCCTGCATTATTGTACTATTTGATTGAATATATGATCCGAATTTAACTCCTCAAATCGTCGAAAATTTGATCGTAGAAGCCATACATCATGTGATCAAAAATTATAATTACATGAAAAACCAATTTACCGAATCTTACGCAAAAATAACATAAATTACGTAAAATTACGGTAATTTCAGAAGGTGCATCTGTTAGTGCATTTGCTAATGCTTTTCCTTCTGATCCATTAACTTAGTTTTTATGACCCATAATTGGTTCGAAGTATCTCCGTTATTTTAATTATTTCTATAAGGCGAATTTATTCTCACCATAGTACAATTCATGTGAAGTTATAAACGCGTCTTATTTGCTTTAACTTTTAGAGTTATAATTAGACAAAATTTTGAGTATTAGCGATTTTTTGAAAAATACCAACAAATATATGTTACACCTGATATTGTAATCAACCGCTACATGCAAAAATTTTAGTTTGTACCACGGTGGAAATAAGTGAGTGTAATACTGTATTTGTAAACAAGATTATGTCCCCTTTATTGGTTTCCTTTTTTAGGTTATTATAATTCTCAATTTATAACGATCGATAAGCAATACTCCATAACTCAAAACTCAAAACCCATTCATGGCGTCAAAAATATTCATGGGCAGTATGCCCGAATTAATGGAAACTATTCTTAATAATTTAGAGAATGAATTCGATTCCTTATACTCATGCGCACTTGTAAGTCGACATTGGTGCAAAATGTCAATTCCTATTCTTTGGAAAGATCCATTTTTATATCGACAGCCCTCATTTATTTCTAAATATTTTTCATCTCTTAATGAAGATGAAAAACTTATTTTAAAAGACTATGGGATCAATCTAGAATTTTCTAAAACACTATTTAATTATGCGAGATTTCTAAAGGTTCTTGATTTATTTCGCCTAGAAGAGATTGTTGAAAAATGGCTCGAATTCCAGCTTGTTGGTTCGATATCACCTGATAACCAATTGATATGCCACATAACTAATTTATTATTTAAATTATTTATTGAGAATGGCGCCTCTTTGCTCAAATTAGTGTTAAATCCTTCTGGGAAAGCTAAAATTAAGCCGGAGATATTCTACTCATTAGGACAAAATGTGCAATTTTTCTCTCAACTTCAAGATTTAACTTTGGGTGAATTACCAATACCAATACCATACTACAGCTACTTCACTGAAGATGATGCTTTTGCGTTATTAAAAATCTTGGCAAAAAACTCTAAGAAAATTAGTGCTTTGAAAATTGACAAATTTCATACTGATTATGATCCACAAATATATAGTGCACTTGTATGCATTATTAACTCACAAGAAAAACTTTTGCAATTCACCATAATTGGTGGTGATGAATATCCTGAAACATTCTACGGCATCATTTCAGCTTTAGAGAGTCAAAAACAATCTTTACAGGAACTTATAATAAATTATTGTGATTGTAATGAAGAGTTCGAGATATTAATGAATTGTAAAAATTTAGAAATTCTTCGTATCAGATCCTTCGATTATGAGAGATTATCGACATTAGCAGATCACAAAATCAGCACCTTAGAGATAGTTGATTTCTGCATTTATGCTTCGGATATAGTATTAATTTTAGAAAAGTCCGGCACATTATTACAACGACTTAAACTTGAATCAGTAGATGAAATGATTTCAGAACAATCGTTATTATTAGAAACGCTTAAGTCATTCTGCACGAACATTACTTATCTAGAAATTTCGCCTATCGATTTTTCCTCACAACTCCTAGATCTTATTGGCAATTTACAAAAACTTCAATTTCTCATTTTATCGTGTGAATGGTGTGATGATAGCATCACACCAGAAGGTGATCAAATTCAGCAATTTGCAGAACTATTGCCGTCAACATTGCAATATCTTGACGTACGGGCTTGTAGCTTTGATTTATATATTGATATATTGCTCAATAATTGCTATGCACCTTTAAAAAAGTTGCTAATTGATAGAATTAATAACGAGAAACAAGCTAATGCGCTAATCGAATTCTGTATAAGAAAAAAAACTTTGAATTATGTGGGTATAGAAATCAATTTGAATAATAAATTTAAAAAAGATGTAGAAGAATATGTTACAGTGGTACCATATGAAGACATTGTTGTCAATTGCTAATTTCTATAAAGTACCATTAGAATTAATTTTTAATCAAAATAGAATCATTTATAAATGTTTGGAGGATATGATAGTTTAATGCGTATATAAATGAAATATTGCTCCAATGAATTTAGTATTGTAATTATATTCCATGTCTCCTAATGGTCGTCCGTGATAATGTTCACTGATATTTTCATACTCGGAATTTAAACTTTATTAAAAGTGATCATCCATGAAGATATCTATAAATATTACACAGGATGACATCACGAAGAAAAATTTAATTTAATTGACAGTAAAGCCACATTTATTATAATAAGAGCGATATTGCAAATATAAGGTATTAGATTGTTAAAGCTTACAAGAAATAGAATTTGCGAATATAATATTTAAAATATTTAAATCCTTAGAAAATAAAAGTAAGCTATAAGACAACGTAATATGAATTTAATTTCAATAATGAAAATAACTATATGATTAAAAGAAATTATAAATTGAATGTAATATTAGAAAAGTGGTAATTATTAAAAATTGAACGTTGATTTTGAAAATCACTAGCGATTTGGCCCTGACCAATTGGTGTTGTACCTTGCGCAGAAAATGAGTTAACATTTATATAAGAACTGGTAGATTCGGCAAGTATAACAGAAGGGTCTTGGTTCATAATATTTTTTGAGTCAGTTAATGGTTCAATTGTGTTGATTAAAGTTCTCATTGTGTTAATGTGCTGTTGCTCATTAATATTTTTATATGCATGTACACCTTGGGAGCTTTTATGACCAGTAATTTTCATAATTGCATCTTCAGGAATATCTGCATCTTGAAGAATTTGGGCTGTGGTTTTTTTTCCAGCGTGATTAGTTAGAATTCTGTTGGGAAGTTTTATCTTAACTTTATTTCCAATATCCTTCATAAAGTTTTGAACTTTATTAATTCCACAATGTTTCTTGTGATACCAAATACCAGTAACTTGCCAATCCTGATTAGG